GCTTTACTGGAATTGGTTGCAAACCAGGGGCTGCCTATATGAATGAATGAACAAACTAACAAACAAGCATCCCAGGGTATTTCTATACTGCTCAGGAGCTCTGGTAGCGTAGTGGTTACGAATCGGGCTGTGAACCTTAAGGACAGCGGTTCGAAACTACCAGCTGCTCCGCGGAAGAAAGATCAGGCTTTCTACTCCCGTAAAGATTTACACCCTCGGAAACCCTGTACAGGGTCGCTATGGGTTAAAACCGACTCGACGGCACTTAACAACAACAACAACACAAAGGTTTTGGATTAAAACCAATATAACCTACTTACTGTATTAAATCCAGGAGTCATGGTGTGGTATTGTAGGATAAGCACTGGACTGCTAACCAAAAGGTTGGCAGTTCAAACCTTGCAGCTGCCCCTTGGAAACCCTATATAGTGTTGCTATGAGGAAATGACTCGAAGGCACTTAACAACAACATATTAAATCCAAATTCTTCTCTCAAATTTTAAAGATTCTCTATGGTATCATTCCACACAAATTTACTTCTTGATTCCAGTATGAATCTAACCAGTCTGATCTCCATGGCATGCTTGTGCTCACTTGAATGCTATTAATCTTACTGCTACCTATAGCTACTATCGCTTTCCTCTTCCTTCCATGCTTCTAAAAGCTATCATTTTTTTAAAAAAGTCAAAGTGAAGTGTTACATACTTTGAAGATTTTGCTAAACTACTGTTATATAGATAACTTCACAAGCTCTATGAATATAAACTCTTTGAAGAAAATGTTATGCTCCTTAAGGACCTTTCAGGGAGCCTAAAATATGTTAACAGCACTTGACACTTAGATGATTCATTTATTTAAATCTCCCAAAATTGTTTCTTCAAGCTCTCTCTTTCTGTGAGTGGTAATAGCAATGAAAGAGCACCTGGAAAGTCATTTTTCAAGATGGCAGAGCCTGCTGTCAACCTAAGTCCCTAATTTCATGGAAGTCAAGTGTCTACTGACCTGAATGTATGTTCTCTCCGTCTATCCCTTTAAGAGTAATCTTTTGCTTAAGAACACAGTCTTGTGAGATAACTTGGTCAATTGATATAATGTAGCTCATGAAGTTTAATTTCTACATCCTAGTTTGGTGAATAGGGTCTGGGATCTTAAAAGCCTCTGAGTGGCCATCTAAGATACAATTCTTATTGTGCCGAGTCAGTTCCAACTCATAGTGACAATGTCTGTATAGGGTTCTCCAAGGAGAGGCTGGTGAATTTGAACTGCTGACCCTGTGGTTCAAACTGGCCTTGTGTCCACTGTGTATACCATAGCGCCACACAAGGACTCCATCTAGAAAAAATATAGAATGGAAATAAAAATTCAAAGAGGAAACTAGTCTACAGAAGTTAAGAGTAGAACAAACAAGATGGTGGATCGGGTGGAAGTGCAGTAAGGAGCTCCACCAACAACAACACAGAATACCCAACCAAGTAGGATCAGGGGCTGGTCCCAGAACTCTGAACCACATATAAAGGAATACTTAGAAGGTTGGAAGGCTCACAGCTGGGGGCATTTGTGGCAGAAGCAAGAAATCTATTGCTTTCTAGTCCGGGATGCTCGGCTGCTCCAGGAGCCACCATCTTGAGTGAGACCACACGGGGGAAGGATCAGAGCGACCATAGATGGCTGGCAGAACCGCTGAGATAAATGTGTGGACATTCCTTTCTTTTGGTATATGTTCATTGGTCCCTTGCTATCTGCGCACCTCCATTCTGGTGACTATAGGGGTGCCTGAGCTAGTGGGCACCCCAGCCCCACCCTTGGAGGGTTCTACTCAGCATGCGCACAGATCTCCTAGAAATTTAAAGAGACAGTTTCCAATTAAAACCAAACGGCCACAGCTGG